CGTGTATAGCATATGTGTTTATTATTATTAAACCGTAATAATAAAACATGTGAGTCAAAAAGTTGTTGTAATTCGAATTTCGTTTAGAAGAAGTTCAATACCATTACATTAATCATAAAATAGTATCAAGGTCGAAAATAAATATAAATTAGTATCAAAACATTTTCTAAATGTATAGCCAAAAAACCCCCCAAATTTCTTTAATTACTAAACATTTCGTTATTCATCACTTGATTTATTAATATTCTTTTTATACATTTCAGTATATATATAAGCTGGTTAAGTAGTCATCCGAATTTTGCTCCGAAAAGTCCATGAATAGATCCAACAAAAGACAAAAGAGACACGAGCAAGCAAACAAAGCTGAAACCCCTAAGAAGAAGCCATGGTCGCGTCCAAACTTGGATCTTCTTCTGCAATATACACATCTCCACAGGAAAATACACAGCGAAAGGCCAAAACCCAAGTGCCCCCACTACTCCGAGTACTTCATTGAAATATGGAAACACTATGGCCACTCCAGTTATCATCGCCACATATATCGTTCTTAGACACATCCTCATTGGATTCAATCTTACTGATCCTCCACGTAACCATGGCGATTTCAATCCGTAAAAACTTGTGATGAAGTTGTTTTGTGGGTATTTCTCGGTTAGCCATCTCTCCATAGCCGCGAAAATCGGCAGACTATAGACCTGAAATGCCACAAAACAATTTTAAAATGTGTGGGAGATTCTAAATCTTGATTATCTGTTTGCATTTTTTTTTAACAATATACATGCATGCATCATGACGATGACACTAGCATAAACCACTAAGCTATATGGTCGTCTGTTTGCATTTGAACATGTTATATCAAATCAATCCTCTAATGATTATTATTTTAAACATTTTGTTTTTAAATTGTGAACACAAAGGTTATTGTTTTTTTTTTTATTTACTAAAAATTGTGGTTTGTTATTTAAACAGAACAAGTGGCCTGTACGTTACCTGATATGCACCAACTAAATGAAGAACAATGCAAGCGTTGGCAAAATCAATGAGCCAAAATGGCTCATAGAATCCAAAACCGGTCAAGAGATTTCCCGGGGTGGCATCTCCAAATGCCGCGTACCCGAAACATCCGCAACAAAGGAAGAAGACCGTTTGGATAAATATTGCAGCCATAGAGGCTTTCTTCATCGTTTGCTTCTCTGCCGGTGGAGATCTCAATGTGTCCTGTCCTTCATTTTCATTCAACCCACATGAGTTATTATATTCCAATTTTTAGAATTTGTTGGAGTAATTAATGTGATAATTAATCTAACTTGGCATCATTAAAAATGTATATATGTAAGAAGTTATGATATTTACCTGAATCTCAAGAAGTATGACTGAGAAAGGATAAGAAAAGGCAATGTTCCCAAGAGCTTGGAACACTAACCATACTTTTGCACCTCTGTTTTCTGCTGGACTTCCCGTTTTACTTCCCTGAATTTGCCGGTTTTCTTCATTTCAAACACAAAATATATTCCATACTCTTCAATCTCAAATCAATTGACAATAATTAGTGAAGTCGACTCATCACTTTTAACTCTTAGTAAGTGGTTGGTATCGGAAGTAAACAAAGCAAAATTAATCTAAAAATGAGAGATGATTTTTGTTTACCTATGATTTCGTCAATGGCGAGGCCGATGCCAATGGAGCAGTAAGCAAAAGACATAATCGCAGCGACAAGAGAGAGCCATAACATGTTGTGGAAATTAGGTATTTGTGAAATAAAGATCTGAATTAAACCAAACAAAAGCATGAAGTAGTTGTTGTTGTCTCCATAAGAACATGTTGCATTGTGTCCTTCTCTATGGTAACAATTTGATTTCAGAATTGCTCTGTAATGAAATGGAAGAAACTTATCATATCAACATTGCATATTAGTATAAATTTTCTAAGAGAATAAAAAAAAACAGTTTATGTTTATATTTATTACCTAATGCAAGTAGCTGTTACAACGGTATAAGCAATCCCACAACCAACAAGGCTAGTGTATAGAAAGACCCCACATACAATATGATTCTTCTTCCCTGCAAATTAAATTTCTCATCTAAATGATTTAAAGTACAATTAAAAAAAAACTTTCAAGCCTTAGGCCTATATATAATTCATTCGGACCGGGGATGAGGGCATGTAAATTATTCCATTCTCCATCCCTGGTAGTCGAACTTGTGACCTTGAATACTCAAAGTCGTGACGTGGTCACTTAGCACACCGTTGAAACTAGTTATGCCGGATAAAAAAAACATATGTGTCAATGAAATAGGAATATGAGTTTTGAAGTCCACCTAAATACAATTCAACGGCTTGAGTGTAAGAATTAAGCCGGAGCGGACCATTGTCGGGATCAGGAAAACGGTAGCAATCGGAGAGGAGAAAAGCAGAGATAAGTGAGGCTCCAGCGAAGCCTATAATGGCGACTGGACCAGCAATCCAACCGAGCTCCGACATGGCCCAAGCCAACGACAACACTCCTGCTCCGACCACTCCCGTTATAATATGTGCCACGGCGGTCCACAACGTTCCTTTTTTTCAATAAATGAAACACAAAATATAATTAGAGAAAAAATATAATGTTGTTAATCACTAATTATAATGATTATTTACGGATTTACCTGTTCTTGCTATAACAGAATCATGAAGTTGAGGTTCGGTTGTTCTCATAACTCGAGACTCTTGTTCTTCTTTGATGTCCATTTTTTCCTCGAATTTGGTTAACGAAGTGTGTGTTTATGCGGGAAGACAATATGAAAACAATTATTTATCTTATCGAGGAAAGAAACCTTGTGTCGTGTCAACCAGAAGACATATATTTGTCAAATTTACACCTACCATTAGTCATTGATTGCAAGTCGTTGGGTGGTCCATTTTTTTTTGTTCGTGTACGAAAATAACAATTAGCTTATCTCACTACTTTTAATTTTGTCCATCAAAACAATCACCAGTGATTTATCTTGACATTTTTTCAAAGAGGAGAATTTTCTCTAATATTATGTTTGTTAGAAACACTTCTAACGTTCTGTAATTGGTAAATACCATTTCAGCATAATTTAAAGTCAAACTGTAGAGGAATGAAAAAATTAAACTGCGATTAAGGAAATTAAATTTTGAAAGAATAGAACCAAATCATAATGCAAAAGACGTGTTTCATTATGTACTCTAAGGTTCAACCATATATTGTAAACTCTTAGTATTAGATATTATATGGACTTATAAAACGAAAACCAAAGACATCACATTGACTTATAAAACGAAAACCAAAGACATCACATTAAACTATTTGTCCACCCTTAAATATTTGGCAAAATTAGGCAAAGAGAAAAAAAATTTGAAAAAAATACGAAAAATAGAAGTGAGAATAGCGTGTAGAAATAAAGAATTCGTGGAGAATTTTGTCTTTCAACGTCCAAATGTTATGTGTTATTAGCGGAAATAACACGCATTATAAAATATGACTGAAATAATATTTGTAGAATTTCCTTGTTCTAATGGTCAAGAGTCTAAAAACTTTTACATTAGATATAAAATTCGACTTTTAGAAAATTTCTATAGATTAATAAGGGG